AATTCATTTAAAATCCCTATTGATTGTCTGATCACCGCCGCTAAGCCCTGAAATATGAATCGCCGCAATTAAACGAGGAAGCAGATATTCTATTCAGTTTCTCCGTCAATTCAATATAATGTTACGAAAACGCTAGTTGATGAGTCGTTTGCTTACTGCTCCTTGTGTGTATTGGACAACCCTCAATGCATCTTAGGGCTGCAAAACAGAAATCGTTCCGGGCGATTATAAGGGTACATGACACTCAGTTAAAATTTAAGGCCCTGTAAATGCTACCGTTTCAACGACCATTAAAGCTTACGTGCTGCTTTGATTTGCGTACCTATTGTTGAGACATATTTTTTCTGAACATATTTGTTCAGACGTATTTTTTCTGATAAAGTAGTTAATCTCTATCAATGCTATGCTGTGGGCACTTCCTGACACCTTGAGCCGGGAAACAATTCCTCTCACTGACAGGAATTGTTAGAGACAATTCTTACAATGATTTATACTTATGATAAGTATAAATCATTGTAAGAATTTTCTTCAATTCAGTTTTGAAAATATATTTCGCTGTCAAGTTACTGCCTGTGATGTCAGGGCAATTTTCTCGTGAGTCTATAATTATCATAGACCGCAGAGGATATGATCTCAGTTCTAAGCCAGGCATAACCTCAAAACTTTTCCAACCGCAAAAGTTTTAAATAATACTCTGCTAAGAGTCTCAACAAATCTTTATCTATAAGGATGACTTCTACACCATTGATTCAGTCCACCATATACTGCCTCCGATTTCAGAATTATGATTATCAAACGTTAACCCACTCGGTCACTCTTGCAGCGTTAATTTTTAACACACTGAGCTTCCCTGCAATCATTGTTACGAACGCTTTAGTGATAATAGCGGTGAAGACCAGACACAGACTTCAGATCGAAAGTAACTTACTGTTAACCTCTTTGGCGGGGACAGATCTGCTCACAGGATTGGCAACTCTTCCCGATACCATCGCTGCCGATGGGGGAAGAAAATAAACGCTTCTTGAAAGAGAAGAAAGCCTGGATTTCTATCGGCATCATCATTGGTTTCCTTGTGTTGTGTGTTTCACCGATGCTCATCGTATCTTTAGCTGTGAGGTTTCCTGTGGACCTGAAATCGCTGACTTCTTGGTTCCCTCTTGTACAATCGTGTCTCATGTTGAACTCACTTTGTAACCCGATTATTTATTGCGTTAGTAGTCGAAGTATGCGCGAGGAGATGCTATCACTTATTAAAAAGACATAATAAAATCGTGTAAAGAATTGTATATTTGAAAAGCACACAGAGTTAAAAATATCTTTAAAAATATTTTTCCCTTTGGATAAAAACGTTCATAATTACAGTGTGATTGCTAGCATTAAGTTTTTTAAAAGTTGTAAAGCTACAAAAAACACATCACAACCTTGCGTTTATAAAACTGAAAAAAGAGGATAAAATATTATGCGCTCAAATATTTTAACCATGATGCACCAGCAGAGGACAAGGTTGAAATTGTGTTTCTAAGAAAGGAAAAACAACAATTTCGAAATTTTGTATTTTGTCTAAACCTCGGTTGGAGAGATTATTGTTTTAATTTTTACGGCATATCGCTCGTCAATTTTTTTTTATCTAAAATATTTAAGGTTAAATAATGTGCGTCTTATGTTTAACAACGGTCATTTGAAATTTGTCTTTGTCTTCTCGATTCGTGGTTATCGTGGCCTCGTTCTATTTTGGTCAAGTTTCTCTTTGTGGTATTTTCATCTCTATTCCTAACTTGAAGTTCTGATTTTGACTCTGACATCGTATGGTTTCCTTTTCACTTTGCCTTGCCCGAAAAAATTTCGTAAAAATTATACGACTTTGAGACGCAGTGACTTGAGAGTAACGTCGTTAAAATAAACTTGGCCAGTCATTAATGTCGAAAAATTGATGATGAAAAGTAAGGTGCGATTGTCTGAGATTAACGACAAATTTTAATGACTAGCCAACAGAGAAATAAATGGTCATCAGCTAGGAGAACCTATTTCACTGGGCAGCTGATGGAGTTGAAAATCCTAGGAGGCTCTTCTTACAGAGCACTTTTGAATTGAAAAAAATATTTACAAGTAAGTGTATATTCTTTTCTATGGTATCCGTTTGTTATTGTGAATTCAAGTCAGTGACATTATCATTCTGACATGCATATTAACGATTGGTAGCCGTTTTCATTTCTTTTGGGAAACAAATAGAGATAAGTACCTTAGATATCATTAAAATTTAGATACGTGCAAATGAGAACGCTTTTCAAGGATGATATTAATATCATATTCAACATCGGAAGAATTTAATTACTTTTAATGGATGAAATATTGAGCGAAGAAGGCTAATTGACGATTTTAGAATACTTCTTATAAGGATCTCAATGGGATAATAGCTTTTACGGCTAACAGTTAAAATTTAGGCCATTTTACGGGAATTAATTTCTCTCAGTAATTCTCTGCTCTGCGTCGCCTGAATATTGCAGTGGGTCGGTAATACTTCTTTCTTGAGTATCAAACTTATCCTTTTTTTTGTGGGATGCGGAGAAGGGGAGTACGCGATTAATTTCTTTCTGTTGCGATCAGAAGAAAGATTCCTACAATTAACTTTTTTTCCGACTAACGGTTTGAATGTTTAAAATTTTATGTCTAACGGCTAAATCTTTTTTGCCGTCTTACGGCTAACGGTTAATCCCATTGAGACCCTCTTATAATCAGGAGGCACTCGAACTGTGCTATGATGTTTGATTCGGAGGTAAATTGGATTAAGGTGTGTGAGATTACAAAAGATGTGATCTAAATATGGCTCTTCATTCATTTTGCAGCGGATTTGATATCGGAAGCCGTGTCAAAGGATGGCTTGAAAATTATTTGAAAAATAAATTCCTACAAGAGATCATTGGAAATCACTGTAGTATACACAGAAAAATTATTAGGGTTGCTTCTTCCAATTTAAAATACTGTTTCAGTATTCATTATAGCAACGAGGGTATTTCAGCGGCAGGACACCCGTAGAGTCGATTTGGCCGCCATGGCCGCTATACCCGGGAGTTGAATAGTACATCCGTGATGCCATGCGCAACGCAAATGGTCATGTTGACAATGACATCACAACTCCAGCCTTTTCAAACTTTGCCAAATAAACTTCGGAAAAAAGATTGCTTCCAAATTGTTCGTGCTAGGATAAGACTGGGATGTGGGTGCAAAAAAGTGCCAACAGTATCTATCTATAATTGCCTATCACCATTTTGTTCCTTCTTTCCTTTTCTTTTTCTCGGGGAGGAGGGGGATTTTAAAATTTGATAACTTATGTTATTGTTCTTTTCTTAAAATCACGGGTAGTTTCGATACCATAGTCATATTTTGTACTGTACAAACTGAACTACACTCAACTTGAAGCGTAGTTAAACTGATACATAGGCCAAAATAGGCCATGATTAAAACTTCCCCCTTAGCATTATTCCATCCTCTTTCGCTTTAGAACACTTCCTCGCCGTTCTTATGTTACAGCTATATGTCTGCATTTCTTATCAAAGGTTGTCGCTTTCTTCTCACTAAAAGTAAATCCTTTCTAATGTGATCGTAGCTAGCAATTCTCTCTCTCCCTGAGTAAGCTATAACCAGAGGTGTCACCAGATAGAAGCCTAAACCATGACCAATTTCAACAGCCATAAATAACCACGTGTTGTAAGTAAAAGTGACCAACATCAGGAAGTAGCCAACTGATAGCTGAACAACGTACAAAAACGGGTTTGAGAGCTCTTTGAGAACTTTTCCCCTGAAATTAGAGAAAAACGAGAAACAGAGAAGAAGAGAAGTAGAGAAGTAGAGGATACGTGACTTTGCTAATATTGGGGTCAGAATGAACGCTGGGATTGGCTAACCCTGTACCAAGTCCCTTAAGGGGTATTTTGTTTCGCGTGGCCTCGATCTTTGTTGTTGTTGTGTGAGATACACTTCCAAAAGAACCTTTGAAAATTCTTTTAAAGTTGTATGTTTGCAAAGCTTTTTTTTTCAATGTTGGGGCAAGGAGAACATTCATCTGTGTGGGAATGTGAAGGTGACCGTGGACATCCAGAAAGGAACAGGATTTTAATTAAAACCTTTTCCAATTCATGAGTTTGTGCAGAAGTCCGTAATAAGTTGTTACACCATAATTCTGTTTAAATAAATATCGAGGCCCCTTGAGTAACCTGGTACAGGTTGGCCAATCCCAATTCATTTGGACAGTATTACCACAGCCACGCATTGTAGCTGTGTTTCAACGATTTATCCTTTTGTAATTGCCAGGTTTTTTATAATATTCCCCTTTCACTGTCTTTCCCATCAAAATATAGATCGACTCTATTTCTTTATATGAGTGTAGTGGCCTTCTTTTCTATTACAAGCATGTATTTACTTTAAAAGTTCATCTCAAAATTAAATTGAATGCAAGAATCATACTTTGAGGAACCCTTTTAGCGTCTGTTTACCTTTTCATTCCTACCTTTTGTTGTGACCATCAATGTCTTCACTGTTCCTTCGGAGAAATCTGCTTGAGTCGTCTTTTCTATTATGTAGTTTTAAAAGGGCATGAATTCCCTTTAGGCATTCGTACAAGACCGCAAGGGCAATAACAGCGACAAAGGAGCCCGCAACACGTGAAGATGCCAATATTTTAAATAAGAAAACGCTCCTTTTTATCATTCACGGAAGCAATGTTTAAGGGTGCTTTCCGTTAACCAAGTGTGGCTGAGCCCAAAGAGAGGCTAGGTGTAAATGAAATGAAACCCAGAATTCTTTTCCACTGTAGTATTAACTACTTGTGATGGGGCGTTCTTTTTACGAGGGAGCTTGTAAGTTTAGCTAAAAAGGAAGGCCCGATCGTTCTGTGTTGTAGTACAGACACGCTAGTTGATGTCTACTTTGTGTTTTCAATGCCAGATGGATTGGATATTATTTTACTCTCTTGTCTTTATGATTGAACATTCAAAATTCTTTCGCGAACAGTTTGCATGGGAGCATGAAAACTGGCTGATCCTACTCAAAGAAGTGAGAGAGCCTGTTTAGAGACAGAGCCGTTTCCTTTTGCAGACAGGAAGGTCCAATTATAAAGTCAATGAAAATTTTAAGACAGTGTGAACACAGTCACTCTGCCGCATTTGTGTTCATTCGTCCACGGAAGATTTTTCAAGATTCCTGATATTGGTAAGTCGAACCTAGAAAGAAAAATTCCGCAGCTTCGCCTTCAAAAATAATTACTTTTTCGCTCTCAAACAATTAGCAGACGTCTGAAAGCTTGGTTCTTCGAATTCACTAAAGTTTGTATGAGCATGAACAGGAATTAGGCAACGGAAACTTTAATTTCAAACCCAAAATCTTAAGCGACGAAACAGATTGTTGTTGTTTTTGGCAGTAATGCCGACATTCACAAATGTATTCTGCGGTTTTAAATGACAAAGTTAAACAACCTTGAAATGTGTGCGTGTGTTAGACTATTTAGTGTAAAGTACGTGTATTAGGTGCTACATATTTCGTGAATGTTTACCTTGTGATGAAATTATTCTCCATTCTTGTATCAGAACGAAAATTTGTGTGGAGGAACCAGGCGATAGATGCATTTGAATGCCTTTTGTGCTGAGGACGCGGAGCAAGGTAATACACTTACTTGTCTTCTGTCCAGCTCTTTAGGGTCGCATGAATATTGCGGTCGCTCCGCAGTAATAACGAATAGGGGGCACTTCTTTCTTGAATACCAACTATGTCCTTACCTTCCTAGGGGGGCGGAGAGGAGGAGTGCAAAGCTTGTAAACTGTCCAATTTGTTTTTCCAAATCGCTATTTACATGGCGCAAACAGAAATTCCCTATAATAATAGCGCTGGAGGCAGGGGGGACATAAACCATGACAATGATACAAGGTACTGCAAAAATTCCCTGGTTTAAAAAAAGAAGCCTAATAATCCTTATTGGGAATATTTGTTTGCCAGTAAGTTAATATTCTTGAACGTTGGTAGTCCAGCGAAATCTTAAGCCTGAGACTCGAAAGTTTTAGCGATTTCAATTCCAAAACATTCGCAACCCAACACAAAGCATATTTAACATTAAGCCCTGTTTCTCCGATTTTCAGATTAAAAAACCACTTGACAGATGAAAATGCTGCCTGCAGCATTGCGCAGAACGCCGCGACACATGCGGAACTTGTTAAGACTTACCGGCGGTGAATTTGAAAATGAATTGGCGGAGCGCGTGCCACATAATAGAGAAAATGGCCCGAAATTAATCAGATGGGTGCATGTTTTTCTTGGTTTCACTAAAATCACTTTGAATATACCACTTCCTGAGGAAACGGTTGGGGAATTCATAGTTTTTTGCTCGTTTCACGACCGTTATTGTTGGAGAAATTCCTTGTTGGCCACCCTTCGAAGTAAAAGGACAAATCCCTCGTTTTTGAAAAGTCTATGGCTATGATAAGATATCACTGACGTGCAAGAAAAAGTTTTCCAATAATGACTTTGTCCTTTTAAAGTGTGTTATCTCCTGTTACTGATGTAGAAAGTTAACCTTGAAACAAGATGTTGCTTTTAATTTTCATTTAAATGATCTAAATCCGTCTATCTCGATCAGTTTCGATCAGTTCTTAGTGGGAAAAGATAAAAAACAGCCTTAGCAAAAACGAAAACAAAAACTTGTGCTGCATTTCTTTGGAATGCGCAATGTGAGAATGCGTGACGGTCATTTGACGAACATTTGCGTGACGGTCATAGGTGGCAACACAAAACAAGGAAGTTTCTTGATCAGTGTATAGCGTTGGACAATTATGTTTCTTGTTTATATTACTGCATGTAGGCATCATCTAAATGTATCGAGCCGGCTGATTTACAAACTTCTGAAAGGCATTTGTATTGTTACCTGTCACGTGTCACTTGTCACGCAGGTTGCAAGTGTTACCCGACATGTTTCAGATAAGGAATTTGATAGAAAATACCATTCCACCACCAGTGTGAACTGAAATATACCGATTCACTTCTTTCCTTGCGTAAGGTCTATAATCGTTAATCCTGTAATGGTCTCGCCATATTCCAAAATTAGCCTTAAATCACACGGATATAACTCATTTAAGTCTTTTCAGTTGTAATTTTGTTTGTACAGCCTGTTTTTATACTTGTTAATGTATTAAATAAACATATTATGATGTCTGAAAATATACCTTCTCAAAGGAGAAGCCGTCATTAGCGGAGATGGAAATTGTTTTTACCGAGCTGTTACTCGATCTATGGAAGGATGAAATAGGCAATAAAAACAAAAGGAAATCCCTCGGTCAAGTGATAATTTGTTGAGAAAGTCCGAAAGTTTTTGAGCCGCCACTTATCTCCTCGAACTCTTTGAAGGATTATGTCAGGGAAACCAAGATCACGGGAACTCCGGCGGAAAATATGGACGTATATATATTCAGTTGTGCATCGCTTCTTGAGCGACCATTTGTATTTACTCATCGTCGCATAAGAAAGTTTCAGTTTTGAGCCGATTATCAACGCTCGTTCGTTCTCATTGATCGCAACAAAGAGGCAATTTAGGTGTTTAATCACTTAATAAATCGCGATAATATTTAATGCTCAAGCACATAATTTCAAACTTCTGCTGCCTGGGGGTAGCTGTTGTAGGATCTTTTTTTATTTTGCCAAGCCAAGAGAAAGCTAGATGTAGACTTAACACAAGTAAATAAAGCTAGAAAGGCTTTATCAAGTTATTTCTTAGCGATTTAAAACGAATATTTTTACAATGTGAGATCATTACGTGATCATTACGTGACCGCAGTTTCACTAAACCTTGGCGCACGAAGAAAAGTTAATCGCTAGATTTCATTGCATATTTCACGTTTGTTCAAACTAAACCTTGCTCTACCCTTGTATCAATATTTCCCACACCCATTCCTGATTAAATAGCGGCAAAAACGCCGTCCAAAATCGTTTTTTAGACGTCGAAACAGCCTTTCGCCATACATTTTTTTCTAGCGAGTTGCAATGTTTGCCTCGTGGTGATCCCAGAAATCTTTGTGCAAACACAAGGATCCGATTATTGGCGACTCATTCATTTCTGACACGCTTCTAAATGCATCCTAATAACGTGTACCTCTCGTAATTGACTTAGGAAGGTTACGAATGACTGCGTCAAGCAAATATTGTCGAGTTTGACTCGAAGTAATCAAGGCTGCTGAACACAAAACAAAGTTTTTAAACGTATCCGAAACGCAGCTCTCCTTTTAAATCAAAACAAAAACCAAATTAATTCCAACGACTGATTAGAAAAAGTTAAGTTACACTTGGATCCAGCGAAAAATCAAAATAAGAACACATTTTCTGGTCGGTCTCGAACACAGGAAAACGGTCGCGTAAGCAACACAAGGAATCATCAATCGCGTGGAGTAAGCCCAATTCAGAATTACTTTCAACGTACAACAAAAACCCCTTGTTCCTGTAACGGAAATGAGTTCGCATTTTCGAACCTATCCAGTCTCATGCCGAGTGTTTTCGTGACAACGTTCATTGTGATAACAGACAAGAAAACTAAACTTGTTTAGTATAAATAACGACTATCAGAAATGCTGTAATCTGTGTGTGGTCGTAAACTAAGTCAAATAAACCTGTCGATCTGGAAAGTTCTGAACGACTGGTAGATTTACACTTAACAAGTAGATAATTCACTCGCGACTTCCATGAGTGATAATTGATTAAGGCTTCGCCCTCGACAGCTATCATAAAATATAAATCTTGAACTCGCAATCTAATGATTGTTACATATATATATATATATATTCCCATAGGATATCATCGGAAATTAATAAACTTGTAACCGGTGCATCTCGTTTACCACTGGTGTGTGAGTTGTAAACATAATAGACAACTTTGGCAAATTTCCAAAACCCTGATTGACCTAAGTCGCGATACACTAACCTTGGGCACTCGCGTTTAGGCCGAGGGGAAGCTTTTAAGACCATTACTTCTCAGAGTACAAAGCAATCCCGAAGAGGTAAGAACGGGTTAAGAAAAGTAGTGAGAAATAGTTCAAGATGGAATTCGAATTAACACGTAATGAAAATGACCAGTCTGAAAACTTGAGGATGTTATATAACGTAACATAGCATCTTCACGCGCTGACAGCAGAAAAACACATCTGCGTGCGTGGTATCAAGTTTGATTATTATAGTTAAGCTGCCTGCTTCTGACTTTTCAGATGTATTTCACAACTGAGCTTCGCCAAATATCCATACTTATTAAACAATGGAGAGTTACTACAATGAAAGGTTTGTAAACTCAGTTAAATAATTATCGTTAGTTCCATTATTTAAGATTATTTTCTAAAAAAGGACAATCTGTAATGGAGTCTGTAAAAATATTGGTGTTTTTTTTAAACGATGCGTTTGTATCATTTTTTCCTTTTTGGCTTTTGCCGTTTTTGCGTAGTCACTGATTTATGTTCTGATTTTAAAGATGCGCAAACTATTCTGACATAAATTTGTAGGGTCAGCAGACTAAGAACAGAACGGATATTGGTAGGCTTATGGAATTCCTCTACGCTTTTGTCTTGCCAAATGGACTCGCAAAAGCGTATTTTTTGTATCGTTTTCACAAAATTCACTCACGACAATAAGTGACAATTATACGATACATCGCACTGAAAGCGTTGCCATCAAAAAAGCGTTATGCAACGCCGTTATGTCTATCAGTCAAGTCGTAATTGACATCCAAATGCTGAGTTATGCAGTAAGCATACTGGTTTAGCCAATTATCCGTATCCGAGCTTTTAACACCAACAATCGCTGACGTCATCGGTGGCGAAGTTTCAACACGGTTACCTTGATGACAGTTTTAAAATTTCCGTCGACTATAATAAATCTTATCGCACGTGTAAATCGTACACAAATTGCGACTGTGAGACATAAATAGAAATGACTCCATTGAAAACGCGTGCGAACGATTTTTATTCACGAGTTGCGATGCATCAGAAAAACGATCGAGTGAGCGCAGCAGAGGAGTGAGTCCTTTGAAGCATCGCAACTCGTGAATAAAAATGGTTCTTGCGCAATTTCCATGGAATGATGTTTTTATTTCATACGCACTGAGATTTGTTTGTTACTGACCGACTCATCTCAGAGATTGGAAACAATTTGTTGCCCTCCATTGTAGAGTATTATCATTCGTGTCTCTGATTGAACGAACGATGTATTTTCACGGTCGTTTGTTCAATACGTATGAAATAAATTACGGTAAGAAACTGTATGAAAGAAATTGGTCAAGTATTACGCTAGTCGCTGAATTGCATTTCAAAAGATTTTTGATAACAGATAGAAGATATTGTATTACTTCGGTGTACGTTACTGGACAGATTTTTTAGAGTGATATCCATTTTCTGGTCCTGATGGCGACGTGCATGTAACATGGACAGTTGGTTACTCTTGAACTAAATAATTCACATCTAACATTCCCATTTTATTCCAGTTCTTATAATAAATCTTTTTATCCATGATTATTTTTAATTAAAGAGCTGTGCAATAGATGTGGTTTAGGGATTGTAGAATAAATAATGAGAGTTTATTTCTGACCATATCTTGAGGAGATATGGTCTGCAAGGTTTGTAGAGCCTTTTGGTGCAGTCTTTTTAGTTAAGATTTCCACAAACAGTAAAACCTCCAAGTTTTCTAGCTCGAAATCGGAGAAAAGTTTCAGGTGATTCTATTCAAAAAACTGACTCTATTGCTCCCCCAAAGCCGATCTGTATGTCGTTAAAAGGCCAAGCTAATTTTGGTCAAGATACTTTCCACCTTTGAAATCTTTCAGGTAATAACCTGCATTTTGAACTTAACGTCACTAACTTATAATTATAATAATTTTACATTTGGTAATGGTGACAGGTCGTCACCGAAACGTCATGTTTTAATCTCGCGTGTTAAGGATCCACACATTTTTCTAATTTTTCTGTTTTCTTATAAGAAAACAGAAAAATTCATAGCATTCTAAAAGTTCATTATTCTTTTTCTCCTTTTTTTCATTGATCGATTCGTTTCCATTACAATTGCCCACAATCGCTTGAGTTTCAACGTATCACATGCCAGAGCAGTAAAATCGGGCGATCTATTCAAGCGCATCAGTTTTGTTGTTTAAAAAGTCTTTAAGTCTAGACAAGAGTGTGTGTCAAGGAAAATGTTTTCAGTCCGCAACCGATAACTTGGCAAAGGAAAAAATGTCCGGAATGAACTCGCAATTGAAAAAAATAAATCGGTGTAAGATCGACGCTAATTCGTTTTACAACTGATTATGGTCAACAGCACGCAATTCTAAATTAGCCTGCGTGGGAAGACACGAGCTCTTGAGCAAGACGGATACTTCAAATTGGATCAGGACCGGACATGTGTCCTTTAGTTTAGCAGAAGCGGATTTATTTTTGGTCGGTAATATTGATTTCTCGAACGATTTCCAATTCATGACTTTTCCATTAGACAGCCTACCTATGTTATCTTAAGTTGAACCGAAGAAGTAAAGAATCTCGCCAGCTCAACCTCTGTTTTGTATCGCACCGCACAAGATTGGGCCATATCCGATAAAAAATAAATAAACAAAAAAATGAATGAAAACCAAACAAAGAAAGAGAAAAAGGCATTCTACATTATAAAGCTTGTTCAAGAAGATCACGGAAAACTCTCCATTTTTCATGATATACACCATTTTCTATCCTTACAAAATTTCATCAAAGTACCTCATGATTTATCAATACTGGTGATTTAATTTTGATAAGCTTCATAAATTGTTTGAAAATTACTTCTGTTTGAGGAAAACCGCGCTATTTGGGAACTACTATATGGAGACTTAATTTAAAGTACCTTTTCAAACGGGCCAAATGTTTGAGCCGGAGAAAAACAGTGTGCATCTCAGTGGAATCGGGAGAAAAAAACATTGAAATAGAGTTAAATATCAACGTATCATATTTTATCCAGGACTTTCAGTCTTCACAACTGCAGAATATTAATATTTTCAGGTGTTAGTGGTTCCATAGTGGCAGTTCTGGCGCTGGCTGTACTGTACGAATGTGCAAAAGGATTACATGTATATTTACGATCTCGCCTTCAAAACCAGAATGAAAGAACGAATGTGACGAAAAGAAGGATTTATAGGTAAGGTTTTCATTATTTCTACTTCCGAGGCGCTTTTCCAGTGACTTAGTGACAAAAATTAGAAGTCATTTGCATAAGATATAACGTGTCTCTCCGATGTTCGCACAGTGAATAAACCTAAAGGAGCATTATAAATTTCATGTAGAACGTCCAGAAAACAGCCGATCAAAAAAACATAAACAAACAAACAAAAAAACAAACACAGGATCAAAAAGAGTAAAAAGGAATAGGATAAGGTTACGTGAGCGTATGAGCGAAGCTTATTTGCTACATCGTGGGCGTCATTGCTTCAAAAGCTTTACACAGCATTTTTAAATTAGGGAAACGAATAAAGAGGGTAAGTTTCTAAAGTAACTGTTGCTACGTCGGTGGGAGAGTATAACAGGGTAATTTCAGTATTACCACGATAAAGAGTTTTCAAGCTGACGTTTCGAGCGTTACCCTTCGCCATAGCCATTTTATGTTATCAACTCAGTTGATAATGCTAAATTTCTTTTAAATTGGTCCCGGTCGTTCTAAGGGTGGATGACGCTATTCACTGGATAAATCTCTATCCGGTGGATCGCGCAGAAAGTTTTGCCAAAACGTATTCGCTGGATAGCGATTTATCCGTTGGATAGCGTCATCCTCTCTTTAAACAAATGCGTCCTGGAGAGTTTATCCTTACAGCGTTTCTGTGTGAACATAAAAGTTACCACTGACGGGAAGCACTCTTTTTATGATTTTGATGCGCAAAATGTTTTCCCACCGGATGACGATACTAAAGCTTATTTAAGCCTTTTGAACTTGCATAGAGTCAGTAAATTATGGCGGAAATACGTTTCTGTTTTTCTCTCTTTTAATTTAACCTTTAGGTCGGAAGCTTTCACTCAGTTTTTAAAGACGTGTATTTTTATGGCTGAGCTCTCTTTGGCATATTTCCTGATGTTGATCACTATGACATACAACACGTGGCTGTTCATCGCTGTTGTGATTGGTCGTGGGCTGGGCTTCTATCTGGTGACACCGCTGATGATCTCATATGAAAGCAGAGAGGAGACTGATGACTACATTGACATCTCGATGGATTCACTATCCACACGACATCAGCAATTGTGAAATCTGCTCAAATATCATGAACTGCAAAGCATGAAACAAATATTCCATTCGTACAATTTAACGAAGGTTTATCATTTTAACTAGATCGAGTCCCCTTAAACTGCAGATGGAGCCAAGGTTTTCTGTATATCTTCAGAAATTAGTAAATCTGTATCCTAGTGGAGCAGCCATTTTACAAGAGCCGCTTCCCCTCCCTCGACACGGACGTTGTGTTAGCCTCTAAATGAAGATATAGGTCTCAATCAACTGACTAGTCTCCTAAAGGAATTATTGCTCGCTTCATTTCCTCGTACGTTGTCTAATTTATCGCCTGGTCGGGGGGGGGGGGATTTTTGGCGGATTACGTGGTTTTTAAGGGGAACGGAAGGGGGGGATCAGTCTTCGTGAAAAGAGTATTAGGAGGGGATTATAGAAAATCGACAAAATCGCCTGTCACTTAACTGCCAATGAGAGTGGGCGGAGTTATTAGCAAAAAACAGAGAGTTAGAGGGGGGAAGGATCGGATAATAATAATAATATATGATGACCGGACCTTTGTCAATGACGTAAACAGATAATTCTTGTCGGCTTTTTGCCGCCTTTAATTCGAGACGTGCAATTAGGTTTGGATGGCTTTGAGATGAATTACGGTTCCTTGCCTGTCTTTGGTCAATTGTCCCATTTGACGTTACTTTGGCTCAGTGTGTGATGTTGATAAATCTCGTAATTAAACGTTATTATTATTCTCTTATACAATTGTTCCGCAGAACAATAAACGTTTTAATAAGTTATTGGATGACTGATTGTTTCTCCTGTACTTTAATCAGTTTTCTCATCGCTTTTTGTCTCTCGACGTTTGTCCACCCTATGTCGGTAAACAGAACCATTTCTTGGAACACTTTGATTGTTAAAATACAAACAAACCAAACAAACAAGAACCCAATGTCAGCTAACGCCTAACTGCAGAGCGCTCCAGTTCGTTGCAGCTGTAGGTTGCTGGTGAACATTTAGCACAATGCTTTCTTCTTTGATTCTGTGCCTTATCGTAATGACGTTTTCACGTCAGACGACAGCGTCGCATTTTCGCGGCGGGATCATCACTTGGAAGCCAGGTGGAAATAACTCGAACAAGGTAAAAGAGGAAATTACAAGGGTGTATTGGGTGATATTCTAGAAACATTATACGTGTCAGCAAAAAGATATAGCGTATATGTATATAGATATATACAGGTCGGTTGTTCTACTGTAGCTCAATGGGTCGTACAGTTCGTATTTCAAATGGACTCAAATTTGAATAATAATTTTGTTCTAATAGCTTAGAGCAAAACATTATTAGAGAAAAGAAAACTCGTTTTTAAAAATTTAATTTGCTTAATTTGCCCTCGCAAGATTTGTTAGGCTTTTCAGGCTCGCCTATTTAACCAAGATTTAGTGCAACTTATTTGTCTAAATATTTCTTCCGCCTCGGAGTTCATGGTTTCGCCAAATAGTTCCGCAAGAATTTGAGGAATGCGGAGCGTATGATTAATTGAAAATAGTGTGCCGTCTCAGCGCATTATTTCGGAAGGGCAATTTATCGCTGTTTTACAAAATATCAACGATTGTGTAGACGGGATACAAAGCTTGCAGCACAAAAATCGCTAAATTTTTCTGATTAAGCTCGTATGATTAGTCGATTAGATGATAAAACACTGGCAAACTGATTGACAAAACTCGTATCTAGGAGATGCTAACGAGGTTAAGCCCAAAAGGTCATTGCATAGAATTTGTATAGAAATGTCATACCTTTCATCGCATTTGTTTAAATTGCAAACGCTGGTACCTTTAGTTTGCTAAATCTATTGAAAATCGTTAGTATTTGAATAGCTAAGGCATGGGTTTCACCGCCCAGAGCACTTAAAACTCCGGAAATAACTTCCGGGTTTTCTCGGAAATGTCCTTGCGACTTTGATTTACTTACTATGGAAAGGTATCCTTAGCTTTGAAATATGCTAATTACACCAGTCACTCTTGTTTCTATTAAATATTCATCATACAAACGCAACTCTATCAATCTCTATCGCTAAAAGCGACTGAAAATTTTGAAGTATTCAAACTTTGTTTTGAAAACAGTTCTGAATGTTATCGGCTGCGCTAGAGTTTTTAATTCCTTCCTCTTTTCTCCATCGTTTAAAGAAGTTTAAAAAGTGATATAATTTCATCCCGACTAACTTGCATTTAAATTTTATTTATTTCTTTGAAATCTCACTTCGTATTAGTTTTTTCTTTACAGTTTGTGGGGGGAAATAATTATTTCATTAGATTCAATTTTAACTTTGAGTAGCTTTGAACTAAAGATTTTCTTTCCCTGCGATCAAGAAGCATTTTTCAAAATTTAAGGAAGGAAAAATCGTCGCTTTGAAATCACGAATAACTGGAAGCTAAATTTGTTTTCACATAATTATTCAACCTAGATTTAACTCTTTTTCTCTGTCAGAAAGTTTCGCCAACATTGCTCTTGGTTTTGCAACTAGTTTCAAAACAATTTAAAGAATCCTCAGCGCATGATTAAAAATGCATAGTACCGTAATTGATAGAGTAGCGCGTGTAATTCGAAAGAGCTATATCTCAAATTTTCTCAGTTATGTAGACAAAATGCAAAGATTACAGTGACAAATCGCAATTTTTTTTTTCACCCAAGCCCCATTTGTTACTCGATTATATGATAAAACACTGGCAAAACTGTTTGATGATTTGTGTACTTTGTTAAAATAAACAATGCTTAGCGCAGTAAGTTATTGCGTAGAATTTGTCGAAAAATTTCATATCTTACCATTGTATTCATCGTAAGATGGATGGAAATAGCTTTCACTGGTTCCTTCAGTTTGCTTAATCCGCCAAAAAGTGTTTATAGTTAAATAGTTTAGAAAAATGTGTCGCCACTCAGTCAGAGTGTAACTTCCTCGTTTTCTCGGAATTGTCCGAACGAGTTTGTGTTATATCATTGTTTACTTAGGGTGGAAAGATATCTGAAGGCCTTAAAATTCACTAATTACACCTGTCACTTTGGTTGCTACTGACCATATTATTATGCAAACTCACCTATGCAAATTTTAAATTGCTAAACGATACTAAACTTTGAAATATTAAAACTTGCGTTGTTCAAAGTTCTGAATGCTTCTGGCTGCGCAGCTGCGTTTATAACCTTCCCCCTTACCCAACGTTTTAAGAGCTATAAACGTTGAATTAAATTTTGCCCGTCTGATATTAACTTATATTTGCAATATCGTTACTTCGACTTATTTACGCCGTTATTTAGACGCTGATATATCTACAGAGATAGATGTTTTTTGTCTTGCCACGTACGTGGAGAAAAGTGAAAATTCTGAGTCCTCATGAGCAATCATACCTCGGAGCTTCGGATTCCGCGCTCCGATCCGTTCCGATGCTCTAAAGGTCTGAGGGTCGATTCTTTGTCCCTAAACGAAAAAATATATCATTTTTCATTGCCGAGCTGAAAATCTATCATATTTCTTATTGTAAGATATTTTAGCATTGCCACAATTACTTTTGTTATTCATTCAAACGCTGACAATGATGAAACTTACTTGGTTTGAATTTCCAAAAGTTAAAAGACTTCTATTTAAATTGCAATTTGCCTCATGCCGCTTTTTCTCAGTATTTAAATTCCTAGTTTATTCTATAGCCAGCAGTTCTCATATCTACATCTTTTACAAATTAATTTAGTAATCAGGTTTACAAGGTTTGCGTGGACTGGAACCTTATCGCTTTTAGGCTTATTTAAGCTGCAGTAAGAGAGCCAATGAAAGGCGTTTAAATGGAAACATGTCCAGTATGGATGATGGATGAACGTTTGAACTTATTTCAGGTGCTTTTTAACTTTCGGCTGGGTTTCCGAAGATCCTATTCCTATTCATATTACTGCGACAGCTCGATGGTCGCGAGCCAAAGCATTGTAGGAAGTGGAGACAGCTGGAGAGCAAGTCACGACAAAGGATATTATTCAAGCTTTACAGTGGCAAGCACGGGATATCACTGCACCGATTTCAGTGTTCAGGAGGACTGGACACAAGGGGAGAACAGTTTTGAGTATACTTTCTGGAATGAAGGACCCTGGCTGATAAGGTGGGTCAAGCAAATTGGCTTTTAATTATTAAGAATTTTGAGCTATCGCGGTCGTTTAAGCAACTCCTCTATATTTAACCATACACATTTAATTCTAAATACGCGAGAAACGAAAACTCAGTGGCATAAGATAATGACGGTAGCCCGTCCTAAATTCCTGCGGAAATCATTGACAAGAAATAAACAAATAACGAGAAACGCATATACGCAGAGTGGAAAAGAGCACGTTGCTTTCATGCTCTACTTTCATTTTCCATTTCCGAAACAGAACCATAATGTGTGTATATTTAAAAAAAATCTGGATAGTATAATTTCTTTAAGGGAATCACTCGTGACAAATTTCTAAAGATGCCAATAGCTGAAATCAATTCTATTTCCTAGTTATTTCACAGTCTCTTACTGGATCTAAACTTCGCTTTTAGTGTTAGTCGATTAGTGTCAATATGAAAGGTAATCGTATCTGAAATTAACAGATGAAATCTAACAGTGTTTCGCTGCATCCAGTTATTCAAGTTGCTGTTGGATCTCATTAGTGAATGGAGGCAATGGAGACTGGCTTCTCTCGACCACTGTCAACCTGACAAGGCGGCAGGATAACGGAAAAATCAACTCATCTCCGATCTCAGCAATATCTCCCATCGTTCGACACCAGCAAGGCTGTCCAAAAACAATTACTATTCCCGCCGAGGACTCGGATGGTGATAAAGTTCGTTGTCGATGGTCGACTGGCTCTCGAAGAGAGTGTGGTGATGTATGTCATAGCTTTCAAAGTGGCACTTTAGACGAAGTAAGTTAAGCTGATGTGTTAAGAACGTTAGGGAAACTGACTTAAATCAAAGTTTCTTTTTCCTTTTTAAAAACTTTGCCCACAATTTTCAGCTTTTTCGATTGCACTACGTAAAAATATTTTGCCTTTGCTCTTTTTTTTATGCTTTTATCTTACCAGTACCGAGCTCAATAAGTTTCTGTTGTACTCCTGTTCTTTTGCGGGAGGGAAGTTTGGATGTTGTTTTGAATAACAAAGTTTTGGAAGCCGATAATTCGACTGCAAGACTCCTACGGATCAACCTTATCCTCACAAGACAACCAATGCATCATCAACTTCAAAATTATATTGAATTTTTATCTTGGTCACACGATCGTCACAACACAAAGAAACATCTTCAATTTCTTTGGTAGAAATTTCTAAAAAAAAAAAGATTGTTTTGTTGCATTGCATCTTTCTACTTATTTTAAAGTTATTTTTTATATTTGATGTAAACAGGAGAAATGCACTTTGAGTCTCCATAGCAATATAGCTCTCGGTTGGCATGCAGTGGCTATTACCTTAGAAGACTACCCAGCTTCAACGACCAACTTCCAAAGCGCCACTCCATACAGTCACGTGAGTCTGCAGTTTCTTGTACACGTGAGTCCATCTTCCGGGCCGTGTAATAGGGCTCCAGTCCTAATAGGCCAAAGTCCAAACGACGGATCTTGTGAGGAAGTGTCAAATGGAAACACATTCAACAGCGTTATTGAAGCAAAACATATCGACTCCTCCAGAAGGTATGTGTTACTGCTGTACCCTTAACATGCTAAATCAGGTGGATATGATAGTGATACTTTCAGTTGAATATTAATTAACTACACCTGCTTTTTTCAATTTAACTTTTTGAAGCAAGCCTTGATTGGTCAATTAAAGAAATGTGCTTATCACACTTAGGAGAATCCTTCTGTTGAAATATTGCAAAACGCATAAGAACAATCACTTTTTCTGTAACTGACAAGGATAGAGCAGAGGTCATTTTTGACAAAAATGCTCCTACTTTGTGTATGTCAAAGTAATGCCAGTATCTTATAAGCAGGCGATGAAATAGACAGAGATTCTCAACTTACCCAGCACGTTTGGATGCATTTCAGTCTGAAACAAGTTATGGAAAATCATGATCTGAAATCTTGGGTCCAAAATTGTTCAAGCCCTTTACAAGGCGGCCCAACTCACAAACATATGTTTTGTGAAGTAAGTCAATCACCTTCCGCCCCGAGATTCACAGTAGTCCTGATCAGTAAGGAAGAATGTGAAAGATTAGTTCCTTTTCATTTTTTTTTTATTTTTATTTTTTCTACTCTAATTTAGCATTGCAGAGATTATCACTGTCACACCACTTTATATGGTTATTTCTGGCCTCCTGAATTACACTGATTCGATCGGGGACACAGTATTCTACAGGAACGTGTCGTGGAATCCGCGATTATCTCAGAAAGGACGACATATCTTTTGTTTCAAGGCAGTTGACAAGTTCGGGTGGGTCACTTCAACAAAATTATTAAAATCGCCTTCGCTTTCCTTTAAAGAAGGTACCAATGCATATTTGCAGACTACGCAAGGTCTTTCTCACTTCTCACATGTTTCCTGGATAACGGCTCAGTGGTAGATCTAAGGGAGGAGCCCAGGGGACCCGACCCCCCCCCCCCTCTATTTTGGGTTAAAAATAATAATTAAAAAAAAGAATCGCAGAAAGAAGAAAAGCCGGCATGGAAAGCTACAAAAAAACAGGGCCCCTCCCTTAGCTCAGGGTCTGCATCCACCACTGCCGGGCTGGCTCAATAAGACTCGATCATTTTCTTTAATGTCTACTTTGGTGTAATCTTATTTATGTGCAACAATTCGCATTTCAGAATTGAAAGCAAGCAAAGATGTATTACCATTATCGTCGGATCAAGTAAGCTTGCATTCTAAATAGTATTCTGCTGGTTACTCCGTATCTCAAATTAAACAGTTGATTTCGAATTCATACGCGAAAAATTCTCGTGCACTGCAGGCCTGATTCGTATGTCCTTTTAATGTGATACTTTTCAGACAACACTCCAAATCCGTTATTGTACTCCCGTGTTCCTGTGGTTCCTCGTTTGTCATGGCCGTGGTGGTTTGGATTTGTGGACTTTAACATAACGTTTGACCAACAGGTACTTGATATAATGAGCTGAATTATACACGTATTTTGGTTGGTCCTAACTTATAATCTATTCGAGGACAACCGGACAGATGACGTCAACAAAAAGATTTGGTTGCCATGGTTTTGTACAATAAACGATCACAGGAGATGTCAAAATGTGGTGGGAACATCAGTGACACACTCGGCTGCGCCTCAAATACCACTTTATGTTATTACCACATTGTGACGTCGTCTGTAATCTATTACTGAACAGACGCTTGGCAACAAAGAATCTTTTCGTTAAGTATTTCCAAACTAAAACGAAAACAATGACCGTAATTTCACGAAAGTCTCTTATCTTAAGCAAATGGCTAACTAGTTTGTTTCCATAACACAGATCAAAAGACCACGTCATTCCAAGTTTATAAGGATCGTCTTGGAAGATCACGTGATATACAAACTTGACACACGCTCTTCGAGTGAAGTCACCGTTGATAAATTCAGCCTTAAATTCCGCCTGCCGCAAGTTGTTCTCAGCATGCGAGGAAATTATTCTATCACCATGGACCGTGGTGTTGTCGTGGGCCTCGGTTGTACATCGGATGGTCCGCCCTCACCAGGCTTCAGCTCGTTGAAAGACTGGCCATTTGATGTTGGAGTTTGTTCTAAGGGCACTTACATGGGTCAGAATAATCAGTGTAGTGGTAAGAATATTGTGTTTTGCGTGAAGTACCACAGGGGTACACTATGCTCTTACTTATTTGCGATCCTTTTGAATCGTATCCATCTTTAACCACTCTTGCCCCTTGTTGAATCAGTGTTGCCTTCCGTAGAATAGAATAATTCCCCCATGAGAAATCGAACCTTAAACGTTTATGCCTATGGTCCCATGTTAAGCCTCCTTGAGATTAGTGCCGTAGTGAAGCCGTTTATTCCTCGTGAATATTCTAGTACTTAAACCTTAAGGATACGCTACTTGGCAGGTCACGTCTTCTCTAACTTGCTAGACGAAGTCTCAATCAAGATAAAAGGGTCTCACAAGGTCGCCAGGTCATATGTTTGTTACATACTATCTACGATTACGAGAATTAAGTTTGTTACAAGTCGTGAGAATTATTATGTTCTAATTTCAAGGTGAGAAGATAAACTTTAGCTTAGGTTACTTTTTTACTAGACGTAAATGAATGTTCGAAGGCGCCGTCCATTCTGAGTCGCAAGAAAAGAAATCCTTGGCCTTGGTATTGGTACTATTACACTTCTGCGCAAGGTAGGTATATGTTTTACCGCATGTAATTCGATACATCTCAGTTGTTCTTTTTTCGGAGGAAAACTAACGAGTTTCTCTCATTTTATTTGACAGCCATAGCATCAAGTATACCCACTACTAGTTTTTCACCGACGCCAGGTAATTCAGCGGTGTTCAGTTGTAATTAATAAGGAGCAGTAATTGTTGCTTTTAGGGATTATTCGTACCCTGAGGGCCAGTTTACATTGAGGTGGGAGACCCCAGGTAGATGAGGTAACCCGCCTAGCCGTGGTCGAAAAATAAAACGCGTTTACATACCATCTTACAACCCCGGGGTGCTGGGTTACCTCATCTACCTGGGGTCCCCCACCTCAATGTAAACAGGCCCTAAGAGGCAAACTCTTACATAGACTTGTGTGTGGCATTAAACTGTCTTATTATTTCCCTTTAGCTTTTGCAGTTGCTGCTACTTCGTCAATTTCTGGTAAGAGTAAATTTGATGTCGAATTCAGTATTAAGAGAAAAAAACAAAATGAAAGAAAATTGAAAAAAGAAATTTATATGGAGGGAACCTTTTGCTCTTGGCTTGAAACGTTGGCACGGTTGTTAGTTCACAAGACTTAAGAATCTCGAAAGAGGTCGGCGTTCGACTCCTTGCCCAATCATTATACTGTGCTCTTGGGCCAAGGAAATAATGCCATCTTGCCTGGGCGAGGCACTTTATTCACAACACCCTTTCCCATCAAGGGGTATAGTTGTGTTCGGGTTTTTGTCAGGGAAACTTCCGAAATACTGTTCAGAGAAAAATATACATTTTCAGGAGAGATAACACTGCTCCTAGTAACTTCAATCTACGTCAACCGAGAGAGGTTAAATTGATCCACTCATGTGACCGCAAATTACTTCTCAAGGACTTTCCTGGTCTAATTTATCTCAATTTGTGAATTAAATTCTTTGCATAAATGTAAAATGTAACACACTATCTTCTTTTTGCTATGAATTACCATATTACCGGTGGTGGATGGCAAGACCCTAAGGGTAGGAACCTTCCAATCTGATCTATGCCTCCTGTTAGCAGGAGCCTGTTCGCATTACCTCAACCAAAAATTGTCATATCCCTTACATCTATCAAAGTCTGTCAATAGTTATCATCATTTTATAATTCTCTTCTCTCTTTTCTTAAATTTTTGTCGACGCCTTCATTTGACCTCAGATCTGAACCTCAGGTAGTGTGGAAGAATAATGTCCTTTTCCATATTTTTACCAGGTGCCTGTTCATATTACCTATACCAACGAAATGGTCGATTTACAAGCCCAGGCTTTCCAAACCGATACTCAAATAATCAGCATTGCACCTGGTCAATTGAGGCCCCATATGGCTACTACATATATCTACAATTTGGATCATTTAATCTTGAGAGTGGCTACGACTGGGTCGAAATATTTGATGGGAGCTCAGCATACAGTACAAGAATTAAAAGGGAAAGCGGCTATCAGCCATCTTGGGGAGTGTGTAGCAGTGGAAGGTTTCTTTTTGTGAAGTTCACGACAGACGGGAGTGTTACGCAATCAGG